TTCAGTGCAACTATGGCGCATGGTGCAAGCCCTTCCCAATCACTGCATGACCCCCGGGGTAGGGTGGGGCCAAAATAGGGAATCCAAGTTTTACACAGAAATATGTAGAAAAATTTAACTTTAAAAATCTTCTTCTCAAGAACCACGGGGCCAGAAAAGCTGAAACTTATGTGGAAGCATCCAAGGGTAGTGTAGATTCTAAATTATTCAAATCATCACCCCCGGGATAGGTCAGGGCCATAATAGGGAATCCAAGTTTTACATAGAAATATATAGGAAAAATCTTACAAAATCTTCTTCTCAAGAACCACTAGGCCAGAAAAGCTGAAACTTATGAGGAAGCTTCCTGAAATAATGTAGATTCTAAATTGTTCAAATCAGGACCCCTGGGGGTAGTGTGGGGCCAGTTTTACATAGAAATATATAGGAAAAATCTTTGAAAATCTTCTTCTCAAGAACCACTGGGCCAGAAAAGCTGAAACTTATGTGGAAGCATCCTGGGGTAGTGTAGATTCTAAATTGTCCAAATCATGACCCCTGGTGGTAGAGCGTGGTCACAATTGGTATTTAAGGGTGAAATCTGTTAAAGAACAGCATGGCCAAAGTTTCTTACGAGAGGGAGAAGTGGCCCATGAGCCTCTTGTTAAGTTTTGTAATCAATATTAAAAAAAAAAATGGGGCAATCGATCAGTGTCATTTTTGACATCTGTCTCTCTATCCCTCTCTCTATATAGAAATTCGAATTAATACCTGTTTAATAGGCATATTACAGTGATGTCAATATGAATATTCATTTTAAATGTGAGGACATACAAAATTTAGACAACATTTAATTAGCTGAATTCTGAAAACGGAAAACGGAAATCAAACATGATAGTGATTTAGATAGAGGTCAGGTTGAAGAATTCAATGTAACTGCATGTTTTCACAAGTACACGCACAGTTGGACATCATGTGATGAATTGTAATATTAAACAGTTCAGAGTCAAATCAAGTTTAAAACAGTCATAACAATCGAATTGAGAAGCTTGTTTTGAACATGTTTTTTGTTAAATAAGTTTGAGTGCATGTTAGTCAATTCTTCTCCTTTTAATATGACATTATTTTGTTTAATATACAACTACAGTTTTCTTAAAAACAGCCAACAAACATGTGCTAACTATGTATTCAGACAATGAAAAATGTGTGACCCTGATTATCTATTGATATTCAAGAAATCTTTAGTGCACCATACCTTCAATATTTATTAAGTTTACCTTGAAAAGAGCATTTTATATTCACATTTGTACCATGAATATACGGTTAAGTTATCGGGGGTTTATATGATGAAAAAAATTAACATTTTATGAAACTTAATGACATTTTTTTCTGGCCAGTTAATTACCCATTCTTTAACTATTGCAAAGAATAATTTTTTAGAAGATATATCTTGTGTTTTGACAGGTTTCCTTGGAGCAAGTTACACATGTTGCCACCTCAACTGTAAAATCACCAAACAATGCATTTGCCAGTCTCACCCAGAGCTTTAGTGACTTGCATGCTGGGTATTTATCAATCTTTCTTGGAAATCTTGACACTTATTTCTTAATTAAGCAGGAATGCCACACCAGAATTTTATTTTATAGATCTTGAAGAGATCCCTTTTACACTATGGTTTCAGCATTGAAAGACCATAATTTAAAGGTACTTGGACACATATTTGAAGTTTTTATTCTCTCTATAATATTACGACTTATATATTTTAATAGCATTCCACACAAAAAATAATTAAAAATCTTATTTCGTTTAAAAGTTATTAAAACTTTAAATTTTTTGACAGGTTTGATTGACACATCCTTGCAATTTCACAAATTTTAACTTTATTTTTAATACTTAGGAAAAGTGGCAGTCTTGTTGTGTATTAATGAAAAATATTAATACTATAATCCAGAAAATTCAGAGTAGACATGTTCGAAAGCAAAACAAACACACAATATATTGTCAGTCCGTGCAGTTGTGGTGAGCAGATTTTGGTGATTGAACGCACCCAGTGAATCGTAAACATCAAACAATAACAGAGCTTCTGCCCTGTTTACAAAAACTGTGTACATAACATGAGTGTGATCGATTTGCAAAACTCTGTACACAACGGAATGACGATACTTGTGAAGGAGGTTTGCTTTCTAACATTTCTACTCTGAATAAAATTATTTTTCTGGATTCAAGTTTTAATATTTCTCATTAATACACAACAAGATTGCCACTCTTCCTAAGGATTATGTATGAATAAAGTAATAATTTGTAAAAGTGCAAGGATGTGTCAATCAAACCCGCCAAAAAATTTAAAGTTTTAATAACTTTTAAATGGAATAATATTTTTAATTAATTTTTGTGTGAAATGCTATTAAAATATATAATTCGTGATATTATACAGAAAATATTAACTTCAAATCTGTGTCCAAGTACCTTTAAACTCTCAGTTTTTTAATGCATTTTTTATTAGTAAAAATGAAAAAAAAATCTTTTAATTATGTATTTGAAAATAATGACCTTCAAAATTTAAGACAGATGTAAGAAATTAGAATTCACCCTTTCTGAATGATTGAAATTCCATGCATTAAAAACATACAAATCATTTTTAGCTCCCCTGAGCCGAAGGCTCAAGTGAGCTTTTCTGATCACATTTTGTCCGCCGTCCGTCTGTCTAGCTGTCCGTCCATAAACTTTTCACATTTTCGACTTCTTCTCAAGAACCACTGGGCCAATTTTGACCAAAATTGGTACAAAGCATCCTTGGGTGAAGGGGAATTTAAATTATTAAAATAAAGGGCCAAGTCCCCTCACAAGGGGAGATAATCAAGAAAAGACAAAAATAGGGTGGGGTCATTAAAAAATCTTCTTCTCAAGAACCACTGGGCCAGAAAAGCTGAAACTTATTTGGAAGCATCCTGGGGTAGTGTAGATTCTAAATTGTAAAAATAGTGACCCCCGTGGGAAGGGCGGGGCCACAATGGAGAATCAAAGTTTTACATAGAAATATATAGGAAAAATCTTTGAAAATCTTCTTCTCAAGAACCACTGGGCCAGAAAAGCTGAAACTTATGTGGAAGCATCCTTGGGTAGTGTAAATTGAATTTTGTTCAAATCATGACCCCCTGGGGAAGGGCGGGGCCACAATGGAGAATCAAAGTTTTACATAGAAATATATAGGAATAATCTTTGAAAATCTTCTTCTCAAGAACCACTGGGCCAGGAAAGCTGAAACTTATGTGGAAGCATCCTGGCCCACTAATAAGTCAAAATCGTAATGACATTCCCATTTTTTACTGACAAACTTAGAAAATTACTGACAATGTGCTGTCGTTACTGTAAAACTTAGACAATTACTGACCTTTTTACTGCCAGTACTGATAAACTTAGAAAAGTGCTGACAATCTTAGTCAGTGCTGATAAACTTAGACAATTACTGACCCGTTTACTGTCCCTGCTGAAAAACTTAGACAAGTGCTGACATTTACTGATAATTACTGACCCTATTGTTCTCGCTCTCGGGGAGGCTGCAGTGGTGTGAAATTGATTTTTTTTTATTTTAACATAGATTATTATTTCATTTATTTGTTTTTTTCAGATAATTTTTTAACTATGTCCAGATGATATCTTTGGAAAAAAAGCTTCTTTGCTATATTTATAGAAAATTGATTTGTAAAAATATATTTTCAAGAGAAGGGATAAAATTTCAAAACCTTCAAAAAGATAATCAATTAAAAAAAATAAAAATCTTCCTTTAGTAGTGAGATATGAAATTTTACAGAGGTCTTTTCCTTTTTATAATAAAACATTGTTATTACATAACATGCATTTTATAATATTTTCTTAATGTTTTTGAGGAAAGGCGTTTGTTATAGTTTTCATATTATGTAAAAATTTTAATTGTGTGGACGCCGCCAATATTTGTTTTTGTGCAGTCAAACATACCCGAATCCAAGCATTTGCAAGAAGAAACCAAAATTAAAAGACAGATGGGGGATTTAAATAAAAAAGACTTTTTATTTTATTCATTGGGCAGGGGGAGGGGGGCTACGGGCCTGCATTGATCATTGATCCTTTGACATTCATTGATTTCATTACTGTCCGCATTATTCTTTTGAAATAATGTACATCTTTTAGCTTATTTTCGAATCTAGATTTTCTGGATCCCCACCTGAAAGTGTTATTTTAATTCAAATACATGAAAAACTATGACATTTTATATTATCATCTTTTGTATATGCATACTCCTGAAAAAAAAATTTGATAGAAATTAATATCAATGTTCTTTTCAATTAGAGTGTAGGTAGACGTTCACATGGATCTAGTTTCTTTTTGTGTTTTGGTGTGTTTAGTCAAATTAAAATGGGGGGGGGGGGGGAGCACGTGTGAACTAAATGAAGAACGATGAACATGTACTTATTTATTTTATTAAAGTGGAACACACAATTAATACTGTCCTGTTTAAGTTTGTACTCCTTTTTATCTGTTTAGGTACAAAAAAATAAATAAACTTAATTAACTTAATAAATCGACGTTTCATAGCTTTGTTCGGTATTGAAACCAGTATCATGATTTTACAGTAACACTGTGCTTTTTATTCGTCCAAAATTATTCAAGTCGTTTAGCTGGTATCCAGCCGAATTACATAATCATTCAACATACAATCGGAAACTCTGTGAAGCACCTGTGTGTAGAAGAAATTGCCTGAGGTGATCCGAGTGTGTACGGTAGCGGGTAAAGAAGACAATAGGTGTCACTGCTGTATTATTTTATTTTCTTTCATCACCTGTCTTCTAGTGTACATGTCAAATTACTGCTGCAACATGCTATCATCATTAAAAACGTCTTGTCATTTTCTAATTTGAACATAAAAGCATAAATTTATAAATCCAAGTGCAACTTCAATGTAGTTTCTGTGAAATTATGAGCACTTTCTATAATAATACTTTGGCCACAGAATAATTTTAAGCTTCTCTCTGAAATCTACTTGACAGTGTCTGGAGCATTCTTGGATTGTGAGGGTTCAGGACTTTACCTTCTACAGAGTACTTGTGAGTATCCCATTACTATTTACTGCAGTAATAGAGAAGCTGGTACTTTATATGAATTACCCTGAGAAGTAAACCTACACACCTGTAGTACAGAATCTGACTTCACTTTATGTACTTTATATGAATTACTCTGACAATTGTTGCATCATTCTAGGTAACCACAGCTGCCAGCCAAATGCTGAGATCACCTTCCCCTACAATAACAACATCATGTCAGTAGTGGCAAAGGAAAGGATTACCTCAGGTCAGGTGAGTCCTTAGGTGTCTTCCCTACAATTATAACATCATGTCAGTGGTAGCCTCCCCTACAATAATAACATCATGTCAGTGGTGGCCTCATGTACAATAATAGCATCATGTCAGTGCTGGCCCTCCCCTACATTAATAACATCATGTCAGTGGTGGCCCTCCCCTACAATAATAACATCAAGTCAGTGGTGGCCTCCCCTACAATAATAACATCAAGTCAGTGGTGGCCTCCCCTACAATAATAACATCATGTCAGTGGTGGCCTCATGTACAATAATAGCATCATGTCAGTGGTGGCCCTCCCCTACATTAATAACACCATGTCAGTGGTGGCCCTCCCCTACAATAATAACATCATGTCAGTGGTGGCCTCCCTTACAATAATAACATCATGTCAGTGGTGGCCTCCCTTACAATAACAACATCATGTCAGTGGTGGCCTCCCCTACAATAACAACATCATGTCAGTGGTGGCTTCCCTTACCATTATAACATCATTTCAGTTGTGGCCAAGGAAAGGATTACCCCCGGCCAGGTTAGTCCTCATGTGCCTCAAATCAGAGTGGGAATTGTGTAAGAATTTCAAACAAGATAACAATTAAATTTTTAGAATGCATTCCATCTTTAATAGATTTTATCTTTAATCTGATTATTGGAACTTAAGTTTAAGTATGGCATGCCAAATTCACAAAAATGAGATAATCATAGTTTCACAATTGATAAACTAGGTTTATCGACTGTAAACTGTAGTTTACAAATGGTAAACTATAGTTAACGATTCGTTAAAGATAAGTTTTCATCTGTAAAACTATATTTAACGGTTGTTAACTATAGTTTACGGATGTTAATTTAAGTTTATCTGTCTGTAATAAAGCGTTAACAATAGATTTTGTTGATAAACATAGATTCACGTTTGTAAACTATAGTTTACAATCGTAAACTATAGTTAAGAGTTGTTAATCATAGTTTCATAAATTGTGAAACTATATTTATCAGATCGTTAACTATAGTTAACGGTTTGTAAACTATAGTTTACAAATCGTGAAACTGTATTTATCAGATAATCTATGTTTTGCAATCGCAAATGATAGTTTTTGGTGTTAAGTTTAGTTTACTGTTGTGAAACATAGATTATCGCGTTAACTATAGTTTACAGATGTAAAATATAGATTAACGTTGTTAACTATAGTTTACAGTTAGTAAACCTAGTTTATCAATTGTGAAACTATGATTTGCTCATTTTTGTGAATTTGCCGTGCCATATTTAAGCAATGGATGATTTATTCACAGAATGCATTTTATCTTTAACAGATATGTTCTTTACTTCTATTGGAAAGGAATGGATGAATTAAGGAATAAATTGATGTAGAAATTGGATTAAAAATGTGCTCAGAAGAGAATTTTAGGAATACGTATTCTAAATAGTATTTCTACATTGAGCAGTCGTGTTTTTATGTTTTAAAGAAGAGATTAGAAGTTCATTTGAAACTGAACTTTGCATTTCTCAGTATTATTTAATATATGTAGAAATTTGAGACCAGGCTTTGGGCCCACCAACCTATAAAAATCCAGCAGTTTGTAAGAATGACCATTTTGTTCTTTTAGGAAGTGACCTGTTAAATAAATTAAGATTTTATTAGAAACTTCTACATGAGTGGAAAGGAGATCTTTCTGTTCTCTTAAATTAAACATTTATGTATATTGAATGTTTTAACACTTTTTAAAACAAAATTTATTTTTATTTATTGACACATCCTGATAGGCTTGAAAGAAAGACGCCATTGAGACTGACACATCTATTTCGTAGCATGATGTTTTTCTGATTATAGATGCAAACTTAAATCTTATGACAATTAGGAAGAATTCAGCTATTGTATTTTTAAAATCCCTATTTGTGTTTAAAAGGAAATATGATAATTTTGTCCTTTATGTGATTTGGTATGCTTAAATACAATTTTGAATTGAGGCAGGCCAGTGACAAATAGATTTATGTTAAAGGGGTCTTATCTATTAAAAATCTATCAATGGGTTTGCTCTATCTATGTAAGTAGCAGTTTATTTTATTATTTTGTATTTTTAAGGAGATCTGTATTGGTTATCTGAGTGAGTGTGATTTATCAGAAGCCGACACAGTCGACAGAAAATTCTTAAGTAAGTCACTCAAAGATGCACAAAAATCTACACATTTTTTTTTTATAAACTTACTATGTCGTATTGAACTTAAATACTATAAATGTATTACATTTAGCTATGTATTCTTTTTAGCGATTTTCTTTTCATAAATAAAAATTTCCCCAACTATAATATTAATGTAAAAGGAAGGTAAAAAACGACAAGTGCCTATGATTCGAACATTAAAATTGCCATAAGCCCATGTATTTGGAATCTTTAAAAAATATTCTATGTGTACTGATATCTATTTATGAAGCAAGAACAGGTATCTTTTAGCTCATCTGAGGCGAAGGCTCAAGTGAGCTTTTCTGATCACATTTTGTCCATTGTATGTCCGTCCTGTGTGTCCGTCTGTAAACTTTTCACATATTCGACGTCTTCTCAAGAACCACTGGGCCAATTTTAACCAAACTTAATACAAAGCATCCTTGGATGCAGAAAAATTTAAATTGTTGAAATGAAAGGCCAGGTCCTCTCATAAGGGGAGATAATTAAGAAAAGACAAAAATAGGGTGGGGTTATTAAAAAATCTTCTCAAGAACCACTGGGCCAGGAAAGCTGAAACTTATGTGGAAGCATCCTGGGGTAGTGTAGATTCTAATTTGTTCAAATCATGACCCCCGGTGGTAGGGCGGGGCAACGATAGGGAATCAAAGTTTTACATAGAAATATACAGGAAAAATCTGGAAAAAGCTTCTTCTCAAGAACCAATGGCCCAGAAAAGCTGAAGCTTATGTGGAAGCATCCTGAGATAGTGTAAATTCTAAATTGCTCATATTATGACCCCCGGGGGTTGGGCGGGGCCACGATAGGGAATCAAAGTTTTACATAGAAATATATAGGAAAAATCTTCTTCTCAAGAACCGCTGGGCCAGAAAAGCTGAAACTTAGGTGGAAGCATCCTGGGGTAGTGTAGATTCTAACAATCTCTCAGACAAGAACCACTTCACAAAATACAAATAGCTACACAAATGAGAATACAGGGCATTTTACAATGGAATCCCTTAATTACTTAAGTGTCAGTTTTATTTTGAAATATATAGGGGAAAAAATTTAAAAATTTTCTTCTCCAGATTCACTGGGCCAAACAAGCTGAAACTTAGGTGGAAGCATTTTGGGGTAGCGTAGATTTTAAATTGTTCAAATCATGACCCCTGGGGGTTGGGTGGGACCACAATAGGGAATCAAAGTTTTACATAGAAATATATAGGGAAAAACTTAAAAATCTTCTTCTCAAGAACTACTTGGCCAGAAAATCTGAAAGTTATATGGAAGCATTCTGGGGTAGTGTAGATTTTAAATTGTTCAAATCATGACCCCAGGGGTTGGGTTGGGTCACAATAGGTATTACATGGGGGAAATCTGGTTAAGAAGAGCATGGTCAAAGCTTCTCAGGTGAGTGATGTGGCCTTTTTTCTGGGCCTTTCTTGGCCCATGTGATGTGGCCTTTCTTGTTTTCTTTGAATACACGCTAGTGTCCTTCGGTTGCTAAGTGTTAATTATGGTCTTAAACACATATCAATGTAAACTAACGTTTTTGAGATGATTGTTCTAAAAGTGATAAATTTCTGAATAATTTACAAAATATTTAAGATTGAAATTCACTTTCGATTTGGAAATTAAGTGAAAAGAACTGAAACACTAAAAGTAGCTGATAACATGAATTCCAGATAGATTTTTCCTATCTTTTTACTCAACTGTGACTTTCTAGCACCTTAAAATCCTCAAGGATTACTGCAGCCAGGGGAAACTAAGATATGGATTCGTGCATTAACCTATCTCATGTATAATTGATCCATTTACAAAAAAGTTTAAACCTGTAATTAATATTTGACATGTTTAAGAAATTTATCATGATTTTTTGAAAGATGTAGTTTCATAAATGCAACGAGGTGTGGAAACAAATTGATTAACACGCGTTTGATCAATGTCTGCATTAATGTTTTTAATGCCCTGCCTTGTCTGCAAATGTGGAATATATTTTAGAACACATGTATTATTCTTGTAGTTAATTGAAAAGTCACTACAACTACCTTTAAGCTCTTCAGTAAATCTTATTGAAGACATAGCTGCAGAACTGTAGCTCTCTGAAAAAAATAAATTGACAGTCCGGAGAGCTACAGTGCCACCCATTGTAAAAACTGTATATTTATTGCGCACAAAAAAATTACACTTAGTTCTGGATTAATTCTTCCAAATTCTGACCTCAATCGCGAAAAGGATAGATTAAACAATATTCCTTACTCCTCTATTAAGTACCGTCGTAGTTGACATCTGCACGAAGTGTGTTGGACCAACTTATCTTGCAAACCAAAATGGCAGTATAAATAGACAATATTTTTGATAATCTCAATTTCAGGGTCAGGAGGGCTATTAACAACAATTATTAAGAATGTTTTGTTGTGGAAACAGTGAAAAGAATATGTCAGGATATTTTGAGATGACAGTTTAAAAACATGGAGAAATAAATCTAGAAACAGTGCACTTTTTTGTGCACAATAAATATATAGTTTTTTTCTCAAAATCTACAAACAGAACAGTCTGTAAACACAGGGCCTGAAACATGGACACCTGAAAACCTCAGAGGTAGAGACAGGAGCCCTGGAGGAGTAAGCATTCCTTTCTAACCTCACACATGCCTTGTGTCCTCTGTATTGATCATGCCAACAGATAATCCGTAGTAAAATATTTCATGAAAAAATGCCTTAGAATTCATATGATCTTTAATTGCATGTGAAACCGTCTCGACATCGAAATATATCGAAAGTCCGTGAAGGACAACACAAGACTTACCAAAAGAACTCTCTCTCTCTCTCTCTCTCTCTCTCTCTCTCTCTCTCTCTCTCTCTCTCCATTTTTTTATAATTGTCACAACTTTGAAAAGAAACAAGGATAGTTATGGAAAATGTTAATTAAGGTTTTCCGAGGACAATAGTATGTTTTCTTTTGGGTAATTTAATAGATAATTTTTATTTAATATTTACAGAGAAAATTACCTTTTCATTTGTGAATGCCCAAAGTGTTTAAGTGAGGCAGATGACCCGGATGTGACGTCATCAGAAGACGAAGAAGACATGGAGGAAGATCAGTAAAGGAAGCAAGAAAATCTCAAAATATACAATGTACTTTCAAAGACAATTTTAAATAATGTTTATTAATAAAATCATTATCTAGTCAGTGTGATTTTCATTGAATTTCTATGGTAGAGCTAGTTGAAGAATGCATTTCTTGGTATGACGTATTGTCAATTAACAATTGATTTCCATTCCTATGTCGATATGATATATCCTGGTGACCTTGAAATAAAAGATACCATAGAGTCTGACACATCTAATGCAAATTTGGACATTTGACTTGAAAAAGATGTTCATGTTAATCTAACAAACAAGCTCTATAAACATGATGACTTTTACTTTTCTGCTTTTCAACTTCCCTTACTTATGCAGCAATATACTTTCAATACCTGCATACGGAGTTTATATATTTCGGTTGATTCGATACGCAAGACCATGTTCTACGTATGAACAATTTTTAGAATGAGGTAAATTATTGACATTTTAACAAGTTGACGAAATAAGAATTTCAGCTGTTTCGTTTAAAGTCATCATTTCGAAGTTCTATGGTCGATACAATGATCTTGTCAGCAAATACAATTTATCATTGAGTCAAATGATGACTGAAGTTTTTCATACTAATTGTTAGTCCATTATTCATATACTGAATTGACAACAGACTTTTCCGTTATTTCCCGATCATGACAATGAGCACACGGCGGGTGTGACCGGTCAGCAGGGGATGCTCACTACTCTATGGCACCTGATCCCACCTCTGATGTATGGGAGGTCCGTGCTCTGATCCTTTTTGTATTGTTTTATGGACTTTTGATCTTGAATACTGTTCATTATATATACATATGTATCATTGCACAATATTTGTATTTTTAGTTTTGAAAACCCAAGAATAGTGGTACATGTGTAAATGTAAATGCATTGCTTTACTGAAGTAAAGTTAATGATATGCTTTAAAGTTAATGATAAACTTTAAATAAATTAGGCTAATGGTTATAGCTATTTTTAACCCTCCACATTCCAGAAGTAATGATAATGTGATGCATTACTTTACAAAGACATTCGCCCAAAGTTTGATACTGTAAAATCACATATTTTCGAGGGGTAACATTTTCGTGGTTTGAGTAAAATATATTGGTTCATGCCAAAGTTTGATACTGTAAAATCACATATTTTCGAGGGGTCAAACTTTCGTGGTTTGAGTAAAATATATTGTTTCATGGGGATTTGATGTCTTGGTTGAAGAAATGTTCTGTAGTAATATATGTGAAAAATTGAATTTCGTGGTGGACATTAATTCGTGGGTCTCTTCATACCTTGAAAATCACGAAAATAAAACCTCAACGAAAATTAGTGATTTCACAGTATTCATAGTCTCTAGGCCAGGGTTTTAGATGTTAGGGCAGCAGGGTTCTATTGTTCATAAAATGGAAAATGCATAAATTCTTTAAGAATATTATACTTTCATGTGAAGTGGTTGAATCTGATTCGTCTAGAAACATTTGTTAAAAAACACTATTACCCGCTGAAAATAAGCCACGCCCTTCAGCATTGCAACAGTCAACATTGCTTAACGACGGATAATACTAAAAAAAAATGTTGATTGCGCAAAATTTATTCTCGCAAGGTTCACTGACATAATTATGTATTTGTAAAAAGCATTCTGTGTATATAATATACATTGTAATAAATATTGCATGACAGTGGTTTTCAATGGGTGAAAATTTCAATGTTACACTCAACAACTTGTAATATTAATATAATATTCTCTACTCCTGGGCATCTGGCAGACATAATTGAAAAATATTTTTTTTTTATTTTATGCCAACAAGATACACATTTTACTTATGAAATAGAGCCAAAAACAGAAAACCAAAACAGAAAGCCTTCGGCCCTCTGGCTGATATTGGTGTCTCGGGCTGATACAGGATGTGATGTGGAAAAGGGTATGTTTTCTTATGTTTATTACATGCTTAGTAATAAAATACAGTACACATTAACACCCTATACAACGGGTAACGCGGGGGAGTCGCAAAAAAGTATGGGGGAGTCGTTTTCAACGTATGGGGGAGTAGATTTTCACCGCTTCGGAGTCAGAAGAGATGTGGGTCACGTCTGTTTTCGGTATTTATAAGATGTATTTACAAAAAACAAATATCCCACGGAAGATGGCAATATTTAAGCTTTATATTGGTCATTTGTCCGGCTGTCAAATACGTCTAGTTTTCTCAAACACTTCGAAACTATTTGACAGTTTTCATATTTACGTTGATCGGATGGTAAAAACATGCATGATTTGGACTATCTGCGGCTTGCGTAGGGATTCTCACTGTTAAAACAGCAAAAGAAATCGTTTATCTTTTAAATGCAACAACTTAAACTTGACTAGACTTTATAAAAATTCATAATTAAGACATTTTCTTCTCAGACAGTAACGGTTACGTAGGGGGAGTCGTGTATGGGAAAGCACATCGAAGGGGGAGTCGCAAAATAAAGTCAAATGCATACTCGTACTTGGTGTTGTTTTCATCTCTTTTATACTGCCAATACCTTTTTATTTACTCGAAGATATCTATAAATCTATGTTTGATTATTTCCTTTATATTTTGAAGTTACGAAAAGAGATTTTTTTCTGTGGCTTTATCAGTTCTAGAGAAAAATCAGCATTATAGATTACATGAACAATTGGATTACATATCATCGGAGCACATGTGCTTGGGGACAGGACCTTCCCCCTTAATATGTAATTTCCGTACATGAATATCACAAAAATTCAATCCACGAACTCAGGAACCCTAACTTCCGACAATGAAAGTCTCTCCATAAAAAAAGAACAACCCGATTTTTAAGTACAGCTATTTATAAGAACCAGGCAGAAATGAAAATAAGTGATTCATGATAGTGATAGATTTTTCAAAAACTATCATATTTACATTAAGATACATCAAACTAAATACTTGATCACAGTTATAAATGGATTTCATGCATAGTTGATTAAAAAATGAATTCAATATATATTAAAACAGTCAACAGTATCCATTGAAAAGTGTCTGTACGTGCAGGTGATTTTTTAAGAAGGCCCGCACTCTCCTTGAATGTGAATTATAAAATATTAAACATCTAGTATCAAAGAGTAAAAAACAATTAAAAAACCCATGGGTTATTTTAATTACGAATAGATATTGTGATTTTAAATTATGTAAAAACATGAAATTCTAGTTATCTCCCTTGGCGCTCTTTAGTAAAAGGAGTTGGAAAGAGTGTATTTAACTCTTCAATTTAGAAGGGGAGGATTAAGAAATGTGTGTGATTTCATCTTCATTTTGGAAGTTTTGCCAGTTTTCATACATCCAAGGGGCATGTAAGTCTAAATTTTTTATTAGAAAAATATATTCCTAGGATAAAAAAATAACTGCCTGCAATTTGCTTAATTTTATCTGACAAAAACAAAATTTCATTTCCTAAACATGCTAAGAGTTTGAGTGTTTTGAAAAGGGCTAACTTGTTCAACAATATCATCAAAACTACTTAAATTCAGTTAATTTTGGGGAAAACATTTAATTTTGTACTGGAATTTGAACAGTAGCTCGCTGCTGGGGATTAGAGTATGATGAGTATATCTCTCCTTTCCGTCGATACTCCCTTAGTACTGCAATATACACAGTCGACTGGAAGAAATCCTCGACCTCAGCATACATGAAGCCATGGCAAGAAGCAGTGAAAGCCACAGCAGAGATTGGATGGAGCATAATTTTTTCTTAGTATGTATCAGTGCCTCTATGGATGTCATATTTAGATCAGGTATTTAATACATATCACAGACAAATGTCTAAACAAAGGCAATATTGACTATTTTTTTTTCAAATTGAAAAGGGGAAAGTCAGAAAAATTGATAGCAAACATAAGGCTGACTGCTAGTAAAAGTTATCAGTCCTGGTAAAAATCTACCAGCCTAGCTGCTGAGAAAATAATTGTCTTTTGTAAAATTGATTTTTGAAAGAACAGGTACTGTGAGCAATGAGCAAATGATCCCCCCCCCCCCGGCCTCCCATGTGAATATAATAGTGTCCATGTTTTGCTGTAGGAAAATATATTAATAATGCCATACTTTCGTACAATACCACTATTTTTTTGCCTAATTTTACTCTTAAACACACGAAATCTCAGGAGCTTCTGGGGCTTTGCCCCCTGGACAACCATCATTCAAACTATGGTATGTCTAAACATATTCATGACTGTACTTTGGAACATCACTATCAAGATCCCTTGTCTGAACAAAGTTATCCACGCCCCCCCCCTCCCCCTCCCTTTTAATCACAAATCCTGTACTGCTCATGATACCATTAGTTGATTCGGAAGCGATTTTAAAAATCAAATTATTAAATTTTAATTAATGAAAACTTGAAACAAGTCCAGCTGGGCATCAATATGTGCAAATTGGTAAGCCCACAGCAAAATTTGTGCGTCTCGGGCGGTCAGGCGCACTGTTATTTCAAACACTGTTTTCGGAATGGCCAATGGGTCCTTCTTAAACTAGTGAATATTTAATTAAGCCCTGAAAAAACTCAGATGTTATGGCAAAACCATAATTACTATTTTTCTTATTCATTTAATCAAAATGTTAAATTGTGCCCTTTAAAACTGTATATTTCCAAACTTATATGTGTATGATATTCTTCAAATGCATTTCCTTTTATTTGAATTATATATAAGGTTGGGGAGTCCTACAAAATTTAATTGACAAGCAAAACAACAAATAAAATACTGTTATGGTTTCATCAGTTGAAACGGTGGGAGGGGGTGTAAAGCCATATAACCCTATCTGAATGGGGGAGAGGGGGGGGGCTTCCCAAATATTCCTGCAAGCAAAATATATATATATTTAATATATACACACATAGAAAGAGAGAGATTTATAAATATGAGAGCACATACAATATGAATGGGTTTCTGCCAATGTTTTCGTCTAATTTAGGTTTAAAACTTAAAAAATAAAATTTGATCCTACAAACCTTGAACTCTTTTTCAATTTATAACTAATAGTATGAATTCATGATGATATCACTAGTACATGGTGGGGGGGGGAGGTAAATAAATATTTATTATCAATAATTTAAAAGCTAAATTGTTATATAAATGTATGCATTCTCTTGTCATATAATGAATTTCATGATTTGTTATCATTTCAGATGCAGTCTGAGCCTTCTTCTGAATTTCAAAATCCCATTTGACAACACCTGCACAGCTGAGGTAATGTAAACTTAAAAATTGAGGACAACCGTCACCAAGAAAAGATTATCAATTCAACTAACGTTAGTGTTATATATACTTTATATTATTTATGTATCATTAGATAATTCGGTATTTTGTGTTGACAACTTGCAGTTTTTTTTAATTATCATTAAGAAAATTCCTTTTCGTTTAGCAATCAAGGGCCTTCTGACTAAGGGCTGAATTATAGTGAACACTACCATTCAGAGACTTTGAAACAGGTATATACATGTATTTCTTCTGATCTTGATTCTCTGAATTTTTTAGCTCACCTGAGTTGAATGCTCAAGTGATCTTTTCTAATCAAAGTTTGTCTTTTGTCTGTCATTGTCATTCTTCAAGGGGAGAATATTACAAAATTAATAGCATTACTAATATCTTCTAAAGAACCAATGGCCCAGGAAATATGAAACTTATGTGGAACCATTGTCGGGTAATGTAGATTCAAATCATGAACCCCATGTGTAGGACGAGGCCACAACGGATGATCAGAGTTTAACATCGGAATATATAAAAAAAAAAATATTTTAAAATCTTCTTCTCGGATACAGCAAGCCTTGATTGGTAATATTTATATGAAAGCATTTTCAGGTGGTGTAGATTCAAGTTTGATCAAATCATGACCCCCGGGATAGGGTGGGACCACAAAGGCCAATCAAAGTTTAACTAAGAATATAGAGGATAAATCCTTTAAAAATATTCTTCCAAAGAACAGAAAAGCCAGTAAGTTATATATACATATGGAAGCATTTTCTTGTAGTGTAGATTTGTTCAAATCATGACCTCCCCCCCCACAGGTATAGGGTGGGGCTACAATAAAAGTGTTCAAACTCGTAGGGAAAAACTCACAGTTAGTCAAAAATAAGTACCCTGTAAGCATCCTTAGTGTAGATTCAGTTATGTTCAATCATACCCCCCTCTCTCTCTCCCTTACAGGGAGAGGTCAGGATGACATATGCTTTTAAGCTTTTCAATACAAAGCTGATTTTTGATTTTTATCCAAGCCAGGTGAGTGATGTGGCCCTGGGTCTATTGTTAAATCATTTATCCACACATATATGTACAGTACAACTCGGTTATAACAAACTAGGATCTGTAAAAGTACTTCGCTATATAATTCGTTATATCCATATTTGTAATTTTGTAATATCTATATAGTTGGGGATCCAAGAAGACTTCACTATATCTGTGAATTCACAATGTCCGTGTTTGTACTAAACAAGTTTTACTGCAGTTACATGCATGTGGAAGCCAAATAGGAGTAAAAGATTTATTATTGTATGTCATCTTCATTATTTTGTTCAATCCATACAAATGTTTCTTTGAATATTGGAAACTAAAATCAGTAGAAAGTTAGAAATTAAAATTTATAAAATGCAGCATATCTAAACAGAATTTTTGTTGTTGAAAAAAAACCCTTTTCAGATGAGCAAGGCTGTAATAGTTATACTAATATTCAGAATCAAATACGGGTAACAGCTAACTACTTGAGGCAAGGATGGGGTTAGGGTTAAAGAAGGGGTTACATCACTTGAAAATTTAGATAAGAATTGTAGAGCTGAGGTTTTTCTCAAGAACCACAGGGCCAATTTTTACCAAACTTAGCAGGGCTATGACCCCTTACAAGGGGTTATAATCAGGAAAAGAGAAAAAATAGGGAGCCACTGGGTCAGAAAAGCTGAAACTTGTGTTAAAGCATCCAGGGATTAAGTGTAGATTCTAAATTGTTTAAATCATGCTCCCTCCCCCTAAGAATAGACCTAAACCACAATAGGTATTGCAAGTAGGAAAATCTGGTGTAGAACAGCATGACCAGTTACTCTGGTTAGTGTTATGGACCATGGCCTTCTTGTATTCATGATCATGATCATAGAGAAAACGAACCATAGCTACTCTCCTCCTTCAACAGCAACAAGAAAAAATTGCTTTACGGAATGTCTATTTTCATTAACAAAGTTCAAATTTTGAATTATATTTTTTCCAGATTGATGAATGAACCACATGCATTATGTCAGAGGAATCTAGCTGGAGCCAGGACACATAGATGTACCCGTACAGTTGATACAGATATCTCAACGGCACATTTCTAAATGATGGCCAAAAAAATCTAATAAAGACACTGTCAGTTTAAAACTTTTTGAAAGAAATCCGGACCAGAAACAAAGGATATTGATTTTTAAGCTCCTCCAAATGTAAAAGGGGTTTTATTGAAACCAAGACCAGGATACACCCAAGGATATTTAATATTACACCCCTTCAACATAAAATTTTGAATTTTAGTTTGCCTATCTAGTCAAGAACATGGATTTTTTGACATTTGATACACTTTATAATGTTATATTGACATTTTTTCAAGATTTGTTTACTGTAAACTATTTATTTCAGCAAAAAGTACATTTACAGATGATTTTTCAAAAATTGCTTTAAAAATACAAATATTTAGATCATGTCTCATGAATGGTTAATCACAGTTACCACAGAAACCAAATATTTGTTTGAAAGAAGTTAGGTACAAAAAATGTGTCTTTCAGTATTTTAGCTAATGGCAGTTTTCTTCATACAAGCTAATCACATTGACTAAATTTTATAGGCAAATACAATATTTTTGGAGATGCTGTCATGGTAACCAGATACAAATCACAAAAGCATATTCAAAAAAATATATTTTCATGCATTTACAATAAACTGTGAAAATAATACATGGAATGTTGCTCAATAATTATTTTGTATTTTATGGAGATTTTGTAAAGTCAATTTATTTAAAAAAGCATTTCCAGGACAATTTGTTACCATGGTTACAAAAATTTATGAGAAATACACTGGTTTTATCTAATATTTGCAAGGTTAAGGAGAACATTTTCAATCTTATATTATCAATTTTTTTGTGCTTGTGGTATTTTTTCCACAACATACTCTGAAAATGATGTATTTTGGTATTTTCTTGAAAAATGAATTTTTGTGATATTCTGTTGCCATGGTTACAGAATATTTTTGAAAAACCAACGGGTTTTGTTTTGTTTTATTAGAATTAGGATTGTGGTCTTTCTATCTCATGCTTTCAGTTTTCTTTAACATGTGGGATTTTTTCTAACTATGCTCTTAAAAATGGTTATTATTGTGAAAAATGAATTTTTGTGACATTTTGTTGCCATAGTAACAGAATTTTATTTAAAAACCCATGGGTTTTATTTAATTTTATTGAAATTAAGAAAGTGCTCTTTCTATTCCACATGATCAGATTTCTTTAACATGTGGGATTTTTTCTTACTATGCTCCTAAAAACGGTTATTATTGTGAAAAATGAATTTTTGTGACATTTCGTTGCCATGGTAACAGAATATTTTTAAAAAACCCATGGGTTTTATTTAATTTTATTAAAATTAAGAATGTGCTCTTTCTATCCCATGTTATCAGATTTCTTTAACATGCGGGCCTTTTTCTTAATATGCTTCTAAAATATGTTGGATTTGAAGAAATATTGTGAAAAGTGAATTTTATGAAATGACCTATGTTAAATTGAAATTCAGCACCTTTAATTTTATCCTTATGGTAATCATTTATCATTTTGTATGTACTTCTCAGGAAAAAAAGATTTATTTATGGTACTATCATCAAAAAAGCTCTGTTCCTGTGTTCAATAATAGCTAAATTCACATTTTTTTGAATTTTTTGCTTGGTTGCCATGTGCATTTACATGGTGCATTGTTTCCATGGCAACAAAGGCTGGCCAAAAAAATTATGTTGTCCAATGATGTTCCCTTGGTCCATGAAGCAACATATTAAAATTTTGTAAAGATCTGAAATGGTCATGAATCACCCCCTGCCTGGTTCTTACAAATAGCTGTACTTAATTTAGAAAATTTCTTAATAATATCAAACATTTTTTAAAATTATTTTTTTTATTATTATTGTTGCAGGATAGTAACTGTTATTTGCTAATGTGTTGCTAAAATTTGGTTGTCAAAGTATGTTACCTCCTTTCAACAACCTTTTTTTTCCTTGTCAAAATTCAAAATTTTTCAGGTGAGTTGTATGTAATTTTTGTTTGTTATACTTTTAAAATTTTTTATATAAATTTATGCTAAAAAGAATAACCTTTCTACTGTTTTCTTCAAATAAATAGCTGTTTGACCGTGGAGAGCGAGATGTTGGACCATTCGATGAGATATAGTACCGTTTATGTCAAAGTGTGAAACGAAAATTTCATCATGCATATGATTATATCATAATAAACAGTAAATTGTATAACAAAACATTTATCGAATTTGTTCTCTAGATCTGGCAAAATGTGTTTCGTCGACCCCTCGAACAAAACTATTTGCATTCGGCCTAACCAGTGTCCTGCAAACAGTTTGTTTCTTGGGTCCGACAAAATGCATGTTGCCCTCGATACCTGTCTATGAATGTATAATGCTGGTTGCCTCAGACTGATTCTGTTACAACAATACACCATGCTATGTGTTCACGAAACTGCGATAGGGGAGGGGTAAAGGGGGTATCATATTCTGAGAAACTGTATATAGCTGGGGCAAGGAAAGAGAGGGTATCATAATAATGAAGTGTATACAGAAAAGAAATATTTTCGTATTTTCTCTTTTCAACTGCAAAGTTTGTGATTAATTATTTTTACATTGACACTTCTCGTTTTATTTATCATAGACATACATTTCCAGCGTTTTAGGTAATATGCAATTCAGTCCCTTCTTCAGCATTCATCCTGTATATTTAGTTTATTTACCTATGTGTATTAACCTCAGATTATCCAAAATATTCTCAATTTGACATACTAATTCGTTAGTGTCTCAAAATGTGTTATTTTATATGATAAATAATTTTAAAAAAATATATGAATGTTATCTGTGAACCTAATCGAGAAAATATACCAGTTAAATTTAACCCCCTTCCATAAGAAAAAGGCAAGGGGCGCGTGCAACCGTTTCAAAGATCTGCCTTTCACGAATTAAAAAAATGGTTGATATCAAGAAATTTTAAAATTATAAATCTGGTTGTTCTTTTATTTTAGGAGAGTTAGGGTTCCTGAGTTCGTGGATTGAATTTTGTGTGATATTCATGTACGGAAATTACATATTGAGGGGGAAGGTCCTGTCCCCAAGCACATGTGCTCCGATGATATGTAATCCAATTGTTCATGTAATCTATAATGCTGATTTTTCTCTAGAACTGATAAAGCCACAGAAAAAAATCTCTCTTCGTAACTTCAAAATATAAAGGAAATAATCAAACATAGATTTATAGATATCTTCGAGTAAATAAAAAGGTATTGGCAGTATAAAAGAGATGAAAACAACACCAAGTACGAGTATGCATTTGACTTTATTTTGCGACTCCCCCTTCGATGTGCTTTCCCATACACGACTCCCCCCTACGTAACCGTTACTGTCTGAGGAGAAAATGTCTTAATTATGAATTTTTATAAAGTCTAGTCAAGTTTAAGTTGTTGCATTTAAAAGATAAACGATTTCTTTTGCTGTTTTAACAGTGAGAATCCCTACGCAAGCCGCAGATAGTCCAAATCATGCATGTTTTTACCATCCGATCAACGTAAATATGAAAACTGTCAAATAGTTTCGAAGTGTTTGAGAAAACTAGACGTATATGACAGCCGGACAAATGACCAAAATAAAGCTTAACTATTGCCATTTTCCGTGGGATATTTGTTTTTTGTAAATACATCTTATAAATACCGAAAACAGACGTGACCCACATCTCTTCTGACTCCGAAGCGGTGAAAATCTACTTCCCCATACGTTGAAAACGACTCCCCCATACTTTTTAGCGACTCCCCCGCGTTACCCGTTGTATACGGTGATTAAGTCGAGAAGAAAATAAGTAAATAATTATGCACCGACTTCTTACATGCTCACAGTCTATTGTCTCATACGGTTTGGGTTTGTTTCTATACATGTACTTCTATTTCAAATGTGCCCGATCCACAATTTGAAAATAATCTATTATTTGTCAATTAGATTATCCTTACCTTCAAAAAGTTAAAATTAAGAGAATATGTAACCCCCAAAATATGTGTATGATCACAAGTACTGTTTTTGAGGTTTTACTTTTCTAGGGGTGTGATATTGATCCATATCAGCCCCGCAAAACCATATCAGCCCTGCAAATCCATATCAGCCCTACAGGGCTGATATGGTTTTTGTGACGTCAGGCATATCGCATATGCAAAAAACCTGTATTTATTACTAAGTTTTAATGTCGAACCAACTGAAACTTATTTATGAAGAAAAATTGAGAAAATGAAGAGTGATATAGATTAATAGTCCATAGAAAGAATAAGAATTGGGAGCAGAGAGAGCGGACAGACCTCATAAAGCCTCAGAGGTGGAATCAGGTGTCATTGAGGAGAAACAACTCCCTTTTGACCGCTCACACCGACAGTGTGTTACTTGTCATGATCAGGAAAACGGAAAATTACAGTGAACTTTTGTGAAAGTCAATTAACTTTTCGTAATCTAAAATTTGCATATTATGAAACGATATAAGCATCTGCGTGGGTTCATGCATACAGTGGAAATGGCGACACAAACAGATATTGAAAGAAGATTTACAGAAAACACAGAATCAATTTGATTTCCAGGATGAGAGATGGAAATAATCTCTTTGATTTTGCATTTCAAAACACAAATAATCAATAACTTGGATGGAACGATCGTCAGCTAGGGTTTGGGAATGAAAAATTCATTTACAAGTATTATACATTATATAAAAACACAGTTGCTTTCGTTCTTGTTAATTTTTTACAATTTATTAATGTAAAATGTTGTAAAAGTTGAAATCCAAATGATTTTTATAAACGAATTTAGAAGAATTTGATAGCCGTTGAACAGGTGAATAGGGAGGAGAATGAAAAATTTATCAGCATTGTAAAATTACATAGATGCCTTCGGGTTTTTTGCGGTTTTTGATTTTTTTTTTAGTTTTTACCATTTATAAATAATTTTTTGCCAATCTTAAATCTTCATTTTATAACTGCAATTTAGAAGAAATTAATTATTCAAT